AGATAAAATGAACATTTATATGGTATGTGTGATTTGTTGTCTTTTTGAGGGCCATCCTAGTAGTGTAAAGTATTTTCTCTATCTTCCCTGAGGAGGACTGTATTTGTCAAGCAAGTGTGTGTATAGATTGTAGAGGAACAGTGTCTTAATTGTATTGATACGAAATTCAGCAGTGCCTGTCGCTCAGACCTGTCCTGTCATTCTGGAGCATATCATAGATGTTCAGCAATCTGTGATACTGCACAGCAAGGGCCAGGAGAGAGTCCTGGAGTTCTCTCCTCAACAACTGAACCTCTTGTCCATTCAGTTCTCGTCATCATGATGCTGAATGGATTGTTTTAGGGATTTGCAGTCAAGGTATCCATAGTAGTGACTACAACTGACAACAAACTTGGAGAGACCCGATAGTGAGGATGAAATGGTTCAGCAAGTGAGGGACATGTTTTAGCAACGTACTGTCAAGAGGCATTCTGACAACAAACTGAGATGGATAGATACAGGGTAAGATCTTTCTTGTTAACATAAATAGAGATATCCCAGGTTACAGGAGCTGAAGAATTGGCCCATAACATTCATTTTACATAAAACAGGATATGATGACAATATATAAAAGCTCTCCTTCCCTGCTACCAGTGCACTGAGCTTGTTCTGGGAGGTATTTTTGTCTTGGGATCTTGGTGCTCAGTCTTCAGAAGCTTTCAACCCTTGTTAAGGGGGGCTGGGTGGGTGCGGGTGCCAAGGCACCTGGTTGGCAGCCCAGAGGTTGAAAGTTTGAGTCCATAGCAGAAGTGTTTGTGGTGCAGCCTGATCAGTATTCTAGCAAAATCTGAGGTTTCTGCTAAATACCTTGTCCTAAGGACCTGAAAAGGGAAAGAAAAGGCATTTAAGATTAACAAGTGTGTAGGATTGACTTTGATACATGCTCTCTCCATCAGCTGCTGGGCAAGGACACATAAACTGCTTACAATGGATGATTGAAATGGGAGCTGACTGTCACATTACAAATGAAGCTGGAGAGACACCAAAGGATGTAGCCAGGAGGTAGATGTCCATGTGCCTTTGTTTCAACTGGTTTGTAAAGGGCAAGACTCCAGACTCTCTGCTTTTATACCAGCAGAATGCTGTGGATTTCAGTGGAGTTACTCCTGATTGCCTCTGATGCAAGCAAGAGCAGATTCAGGTCCATTAATTCAGACTTCGGGGTAATAGTTGTTTGGCTGTAATGCTTTACCTCTCAAGAGGGGCTTTATTGAAAGTATTTAAATAATAAAGGCAAATTATTGTGACTGGAGGTGAGGGGAACTGAGAGCTGTGTACATGGCAAACAGTAAAAGAAGAGAATTATGCAACTGTGAGAAGAAAGAGAACACTATGAGGAGATATACTTCAGGCATACATAATAATGCATGCTGAAGGTGGCCAGCAGGCAGCATTTCTGTTTACTGTTAAGTATATCACACGTGCTTATTTGATTGAATTAAGAGGCAAAATAAATGTAAAGTCTCTGAAAAGAAAGAAACTTTTGCACAACTTCCTAAACTGTAGAACTGTCTTCTATAGTTATCACCGAGGCAGAAATTAAGTCTTCAGAAAGCCAAAAGAAGCATCTTAGCGCCCCTAGAGATCTAGGCTCTCCTGTGTACCAAAAGCCCCAAACTAACTACTACTGAAGTAAGTGGGAGAGAGAAGAGAACCTGGGAGGCACTTCCATCTCCCATGTAATCAAGTGTATGTGTTTTACTTGGCAGTGAAACATGGGCTGCTTTTTGTAGAGGAGCTCATGATATTGCAGTGGATACTAACTATTGACTGTGCCATGCAGGTTCGCTCAGCTGGCAGCTGTGGAACTTTTAACCCAGGTAACAGGAGACAACTCGGATGAAGAATTAGATATCAATGATGTAAGGTTTTTTGATAGACATGGTGTGGAAGGGAGCACAGATAGCAAAGAAGATTTAACCCTAGATAAAGTCAACAAAAGAGATGCACGCAGTAAGTAAGCTCTTTCTCAGCTCTGTCTTTTTCTGAAAGGGTGGGGAGGAATAATCATCTCAGGAGAAAAATATATTTAGCCACATAATTTCAGCCAAGTCTGCAGAATTCTTCGTCATATGAGGTGTCAGGAACCAGGGACTCTGTGCCAAGAAGCTTTGAACAGTGAGCATCTTGTGGAAACCAGACCATTTTTGATGCATGGAAACTAGAACAGAGGATAACTGGGAGATTACTTTAGTCCATCTGTAGGAAGCCGGCACAGGATTGTCCTTTATAGATTATTTTTGAGGGATATGTCAGATGTAATTGTATAACAACCAAGAACTAGACCTAGGTTACTTCCTCTGGGAGACTGTTCCACAATCCATTGCCAGGAGACGGCTCCCAGCACTCACAAGACCCAGTAGCTTCATGCACAGAAGCTCGTTAGCTATTCACACAATTGTCTGTCTTGCAGTAAGAGCCTATCAAAGGATTGAAGAACTTAAGCAACTTCTAGAAATTGCCTGCAGCAACTACAAACAGCTGGGGGGAATAACTGAAGAGGAGAGAGTGAAGAAGAAAGAAGAAAGGGAGGCTGACAAGTAAGGTTCCCTTAACTGTGATACTTATGCGCTTCTTTCCTTCCAAGTCTCTTCAAAGGTGTTCCAGTATTTGGTACTTATTTAGGCATTATGTTTTAAATGCAATATGTATGTATGGTCAAGAAGCTATCAGATGAGAAATCAGTTGAGCTTCTGTAATGTTTGCCTAGTTCCTCAGTGTTTCATTAGGGACTTCTGCAGAAATGTTCCCTTGCAGAAATGGTTGAGGTGGTTGGACATCCCACCTGCAGAAGACTGTCGGGAGTGTACAGGAAATGTCACACTATCCTGCTGAGACTCTGGACTCCTAAATAGTGGTGCCACTTTTTGCAGGCCTCCTTCTGGTTCTCTACTGTTCTCTGAGTCTCTGCCTGTCCCCACCTGGAGATTTTGGCATCCCCAAACCAATGCTTCTTGTCAGTCACTGTGTGGGTGGAGCTGTAATATTGAGGACTTACAGTATAGCAGCAGGGAGGTGTGTGCAAGGGTATTGCAGAATTTAGATAAGGAAATCACTTATTTCCTGATTTTTTTCAAAGGCGCTGAGCAGCTCCACGTTACTGGACTTCAGTGGGAGCCGTGGACACTCCACAACCCAGACACTGCCCTCTTAAAAGGGCCCTCTGGAAAATGGCAATAACAACATTCATCTGCCTCGCAGGGTGCTGTGAAAGGCAGTAATGCTCATCATGGCTCACTTTAGACTGGTGGCCAATAGACAAAGCATTCTGCAGTTATCTCCCTGGGTTCCTTATTCTTAATATCTGTGAAGATGGCGTTTTGGGCACCTGCAAGCTCATCTGGATTTGATCTTTCTTTCTGGCTTAAATTCTCAGGGCAGGGCATATGCCCTCCTTTTGTGACTGTGCTGGTTCATACTGGTGCATGTGAGATCACATTTCAGTTTGTGATGCTAGAGAGCTGGTTGCAGTAGGAACAATTGGAAGACGAAATCTGAATGACATTTAAACTGCTAATCTCCAGGATTCACTGATCGGTAGGGGACCTTGTGTTGCTGAGCATCATATGCTGCTGCGGCTTCATGCAAACTATAGTTCATTTTTTTTAATCTTCATTTCTGGGTAATCTCAGTTTTAGACTTTAGAAACAGTTTAAAGCATCCACCTTCTTGAATATACACAACCTGCCACCCTACATCCTATCAGTGAAGGGACCAATCTATATGATTTCACCATTTCACACTCTCCCCTTGGTCCTGCAGGTATTTTTGATGTCCTGAGAATTAGGACCAGGAGGTAAACTTGTCTTTTGCTCAGTGTGTGGGATTACATTGCCCTCTAGTGGCTGGCCAGCATCTAAAACAGTCTTTTACCAGAGCTAACGCCTAAGCGTTATTGTTTGTTCTTTTGCAGCCAAATGTTCTGAACCAGTTACAGTCCACATGCGGGGTGTAGCTGGTAGCTGTGATGTCTCTATGTGCGCTCACGTGGCGTGTTGTAGTAGCAGAGAGCCTCTTTGTCATTTCTGCTCCCATTGCAGATACTAATTGCAGCCGCTGTGCAGCTAGGACAGTCTGTGGTAAACATGGATCCCTGTTGGATCAGAAAGCATACTACCCTTGCAGTCTTCTCTCATTCAGCATGCTAATTAATGATGCTTAAATAGCTACTGAACTATGGTGAGGTGTGGGCCACAGACTTCCTGTGCTTACAAGGACAGTGGCAGCAGATGCTGGTGTTATGCCTTACTCCATTCTGGAGCAGTAATACAGGCACAGCTAAACGTATGCCCCAACTGGCCTCCATGAGCTGTTTTGCCCCTGCAGCAGCAGGATTGGACCTGGACTTTCTTCTTGGATCACCACAGGGCAGTGGTTTAACAAACACTGTGCTTTTGGCAGGATGATGAGAGAGCTGGAGGCCCAGCTGGAGTACGAGCGGGTGCGTCGAGAGAAGCTGGAGAGCCAGCTGGATGATTGTCGAGCAGAGATCGCTCGTCTCAAGGAGTGCCTGGGGAAGGTGCCAGTCTCGCCCCTGCCCACGAGGGTGAGTGCTGCATTTTGTCCTGTGCCTTCTCAGCACTGCTTTCGAGAATGTGTGAAAAGGGAATGTGAAAAGTTTGGGGGCAGAACACTGTTACCCTGCTAAGACACATGAGAGTTAGGTCATTTTGGGGCATCTAAGTCATCCAGTTTTGCCTCTGGTAATAGCCTAATGGCTTACCTAGCTATCACTCTGTCTTAGTGCACTGTGAGCCAGCAAACTTTTCATGTTCCCCTGTGTTCCCCCTGCCCAGGACCTGGGACACCCAGGTGCTAGACTCACTGCTGAGGAGATTTGAACCTTGATCTCTCACATCACAGCCTGCCAACCTGATCATTATACCATGGGACTGAAGCTACCTTTCTATTAAGTTTAGGCCACTGGGTAGCTGAGAAGGAAACATCCTGGGTGCTGGCAGAAAATCAGCAAGAGGATGCCTTCCTGTGGCTCAGGATGGTGAATGCAGCCCTGGTATGAGCCCTTATTTCATTATACAGCATGGAGTCATTGGGAAAACTGCACAAACAGCCTGTGGGCAGAAAGCAGGCTTCTTCACAGGGTGCTCCCCCTGGCTGTAATTCCCTCCCAGCGAGGCTAGAAGAGATGCCCAGACTGTACCATTTGAAATCCTTTCAGTGGCAGTCCTGATCCCAGTGCTTCTTCAGGAAGGAAAGGCTTCTCGGAAGACCTGACTCTGAATCCCTCACAGAGAAGAGTATATGCTGGTGTTGGACCGAGGGAAGGAAAGCCTGGGGAGCTGCTTATAGTGAACCTCAAGGTCTTGGACTTTCAGGCAATAAGAGAACTCAAATGCCGTGCAAGTACAAGATACAGCAATGACGCTATGTACAATACTCAGCATTTTCTATTCCTTTGTTACTACCTCACCTGCCTTGTGGGACACTGGATGTTTCTGTGCACTGTCAAATCTCCTGAAAGGACACTTCTGTGACACCTCTTCCTACAGACCCTGGAGCAGGCACACTAATGACTGGGGACCTATCAGTTTTAGGTCACTCTGTGCACTGCAGACCAGATTCCCCTCACACTTGCATTGATTTAACTCCATTGGGCTAGATCCTGCTCCCTGTTACTAAAATACACTCCAGATTGGTGTCATGACTTGGTAAAATGAACAAACAGCCTTAGGAGCAGGGGCCAGGACCCAGGGCAGTGCCTGCCATCCTGAGCCACAGAGTTAAGGTCTTCCTATTTGCTTTCATTCTGACCCTGGACTCTCCCTCTTGACTGTGCTGTGGGCCAGCTTGAAGAAGAGCAGGGTGGAAGGCTACAGCATAGGAGATGTGGATTCAGGCCCCCTGATGTTAAAGAGGGGTGTTGTCTATATCCTGATGAAGTGCTCTGAGCATGAGGTGATCTATGGAAGGAGATAAGGATTATCCTTAAACTGCCACATAGAGGCCCAGCTGGTAGGACAGATGTCCTACTAAGACACATTTGCTTTCTCCGCTCCAAGGGAACTAGGAGCCCAGAGCAGGCAGGCTGAAGTGAATGGGAGTTATGTCCCTCCTGGGTCCATCTGTGGAGGTGTCCTAAGTGCTGCCCATTGACATAAATATGCAGTTCTGCAGAGAGCAGTAGGAGGCACACAAGCTCCCATTGAAAGTGCCTACACAGGCAGAATGGGATACCTCTTGGTTTTGGGTTGTGTACATCAGGCACTTGTTAGCAGCTGCACATTAAATCCCAAATGGGCAAAATAGGATTTATCCCTCTGTGATCCAGAGCCGGCATCTCCAAAGAGCAACCTCCAACTGCTGCATATAACGAAGCTGGAAGAGGAGGAGTCTCTGATGCACGTCAGAGGTGGCTCTCCCTGGCCGCCAGACAGGTGCACACCCACTACTTTGCTGGTAGCAGCAGCGAGAAGCTGGGACCAAAACCCCTCGCGCTGAGCTGGGGACTGCAAACCATCAGCTTGCCTTGCCTGGTACCCCAATTCTGACCAAGCTGTTCTGGTTACTTCAGAAAGTGTTACAGAGCCAACACCTCACCCCAGCCCATAGCGGACATGTGTACAGAAGTCATGGCACAGCAGACAGAATCCTCCTCTGGCTACGTTGTGCCCAGGCTGTGTCTGACGGCTTAATTGCACTGTCCGCATGCAAATGTGAACAGCAGCGGTAAGCCTCCTGCTGCCATCTGCTGGCCTCTGGCTACAACTGCCTCCTCCACTTCAGAATGGCATGGCACGAGCAGCCCTGGAGCTCCTGCCTGAATACAGGTGCAAGGTGCCTGGGAGTGGACCCTTTGTTTCTCCATAGGCAGCAGTGTAGGCTGCAAGACGCACTCATAACTAGGGGCAGCTCACAGCATCCCCTACCCCTCTTGGTTCTTGGCAAGGGTTTGGATGGCAGGGTTTTTTCTCCTCTACCTGAGATGCTTCATGCCCTTTGATCATGCCCTCCTATTCACAGCTGCTTCCTCCTTTCTTTCTCTCTCTCCCCTGCTGCTTCCGTGTCTCTCCCATACTCTGGGCTCTTTTCTCTCCCTGTCCCAGGACTGCCCTTTGATGGGCTATGTAGCCACTGCTGTCTGCCTACTGCTCCCCTGCCCATTTGGTACTGGAAAGCCCTGAAATGAACCCACCTCCTGCTTCCATAACACAGTCCTGGGACACTGGCCAGACATCCTTGGAGTCTTGTAAGCCTGTGACTTTTGGACTCATACCGTTCCAGCCTCTTATCAGTTGTAATTGGGCTGTTTCAAGCAGGGAAGATAAGACGTGGCCCACGGATGCAGGTTTACTGTCATATGCCCTTCTGAATTAATATGGCTGCTGAGAGAAGGTCTTTGATGGCTCCTCAGCACTGCCCCATGAAAGGCCTCTGCTTGTTCTGACCCCTCAATTGGTGAGGCTATGAGCTTTCCCCTTCGGGATTTCAGAGCTCTGCTCTTGTTTGTTAAACCAGTGGGGGATTTCAGAGTTGAGAGACTGGCTTTAAAAGTGAGACAAGATTGTCAATGATAAGCCAAAGTGACAGCTGGATTGCTATTGCCATGGCACTGACAATGTGTCCTGCAGCCTTCCAGGTACCTCGCAGCAGGGGAAGCTTCAAATCAACCAAAATCAAAAGTTCATTTCACTTAACAGCACTGCACTTTCTTACATCAACAGGTCTTCAGCCCTGTATCGAAACAAATGCTGAGGGCTGGAAGGTGAGCACAGGAGCTGTAGATGTATCCACCCCAGAAAGGCATCACTTTTTTCCCCCCAGACAAGCAGGCAGGCCTAATCAGTGGCCCTTAAGGGGGTGAGAGTTTCTGGTTGGACCTAGGGAGCTTTGCTGGGAGAAGGGATGGTGCTACTCAGATTACAGGTAACCTTGCAAGTTGGCTACTGATAAAAGAGGCAGACCTTTCATTTACTTGCACTTCAAAACACAAAAACATTTAACCCAAAGGCTATCTGACTACCTGTGACAGCACAACAGCTTCTTATGTATACTAGCTAGGGAGACAAGAGATGGGTGGCATGTAGATTGGCAGCAGGTCTTCTTGAATTTGCTGAGTTTTCCAAATTTCTCTTCAGCTCATACCCCTATTTCTAGATGGCTTATTCTAAATCTTCTAATACACGCTCTCTGATGGCCTCTATTTATTTCACTGAACCAGATCTCTTGTGAGTTTGCACGGTGTCATTTAGTTGGGAAAGTAAAAGGGAGGGTTTCTTTATCTTTTCTTTCCCCATTGTGAAAGGCTTGCTGTTAAACACTGACCTGTTTCTTTTTTACCTTAGCTTATGGTCTTATCTGGCAAGGCTGTTTTGTTTTTACCAGTGATCTAAGACTCTTTAACAAAAATATATCTGTTATAGCAAAATAGCATCTAATACATGTGGTTACATCAATCGCTGATATTAATATTTTAAGACACAGTGTATTTGTATTATTTATTGTATGGTGTTCTCATACAAATGTCTTCTTTCAGTCCTTGTACTCTGTTTAATTGGATCTCATTACTAGTTTCGCTGGACATGTTAATTGCTTTACTTTGCTGACCAAGCTGAAAAGGTTCATGCTATAGTCACTCAGAAACAGGCATTGGGACCTTCTGCTTAGCTACTCTTCTGCAGCTTGACCTAGGCCCCTTGAAAATGGCCAAGGCTGGTAACTATAGGAAGTGAACAGAAGAGAAATGAGAAAAGGATCCATTTCATGCCCATTTTTTCCCCAGCTGTAGGCTCAGGAATTGGGATAGTTAATTTACCATCTTAGCTATTGTATTTCTTAAGCATTTCGTCTTTTATGTTTAACACAATATTTTGCAACTGAAAGTTTGTGTGATTTAACCCCCTCCTTTGTAATGGAAGCAGGTTGAGGCACACAGCTGCATTGTAATGGCTTGTATGTCCTTGTTGCAGGAAACTGAGGCTCCTTCTGACTTGGGTAAAGAGAAAAAGAAGGTGAAGAAGCCACTCAGCAGCTCCGGAGGTGTGTTTGTGAGACGATGCTGAGGGGTGCGTGGAAAGCAGCATTCATCTCGTTCATCTCGGGAGCGTGGCAGGCAATTAGGAAGAGGTGTTCACAAGGGAATGCCATTGTCTTGTAGAACCCTCAGGGCAAGCCCCCAGTAGAGTTTGGTGAGCTGAACCCGTGCCAAACAGCAGGGTTTGTACTCTAGTCCTCTCTCAGAGTAAGCTCCTTGCAATAAACGCATCCTAATACATCAGTAGGGGGAATGGAAGTCTTTTTTTTGTACTATCCTGGCACTGGGCAAGGTGCAACATTTTGTGGGACTGCTGGTATAATAAGCCTGTAGCCTAACACTGGATGCGTCTACGTGAGATGTTTACTGCGCATTAGACTAATTGAATCAAATGGCGGGGAGGCAGCAGGGGAGCCAATAGGGGAAGGCAGCTTGACCCCTACCCCTTTCCCCCTGCTATCTGTCCCTCCATTGCCTCTGCCCACACCCTCAGCCTCTGTCCCATCCCTTCCCCACACCCGCTTACCCTTTCTCCAGCACTGCAGGCTCTGTCCCTGCTCCAGCCTGGGGCATGGAGCACGGGTGGTCTGGTGGCAATGGTGGCAGAAGCTCTGGCCAGGCCCCAGAGTTGGGGCTGGAGCTGCTAGGCTGCTGTTGCTGCTACAAGACTGGGCTGGGGCTGAAGGAAGCACGTGCTCCATGCCTCAGGCTGGAGTGGGGATGGAGCCTGCAGTGCTGCAGCAAGGGTAAGCAGCAGGTGGGAGGGGGCAGAGGCTGCAGGGGGAGGGAGGAAGAAATGGGGAAAAGGGGCCACAGGCTGTTGCACGGGGGGAGAACTGGGGAAGGAGGCAGCAATGGGTGGGGCAGGCAGAAGCTGCGGTTCCAGCCCTAACCCTGGGTTGGGGCCAGAGCTGGGGCCACACCACCTTGTAGTGGTTGTAGTTGATTCCTTGTAGTTGATTCCAAGATGAGCCCCACGCCCATGTTAAATGGGGAAAAATCCTTCTTGTCTTGGTATTTAATAAATACAGTATTAATGCAAAATCCATATGTGGATCATGTAGAGACTGACTGCTGATAAACAGAAATGGCAGAGATTTAGAAGGTGAATGCTATAAATATGGTGTTTATTGTGGCCTTGAGTGACTCTGTACAACGTTTGCTTATAACACCGCTGTACCTATCAAAATTAGGCATGGAACAGTCATCATCTGAGACAGCACATACCACCACCACCCACAGTGGGCAGCTCTCAGGAGACTAACACTACTGCCTACCATAAAACATGTTGTCGCAGTTTTCCAGGTTGGTTTCTTTTAATCACAGCTCAGGTTGCAGCTGTAACAATTCTGTTGCAGGAGAGAGTTTACGTAGAATTTCGTGCATGAAATACACAATTCACAAAATACCAACACATCCCATTTGTAAACAAGATAAACCTGGAATAACCTGAAAATGCCACTCTAGGTATTTTGTAGAGCAATTCTCTCCCCCATGCAGGGGATACTCCATTACTACAGCAATACCATTACCTGCAAAGATGAACTGAGCATTGGCACCACTGTGGCCAAAAAAAAATCATCTATAAAAAGTCAACAAAAAAAAAAATTGGCTGCTTTCATTTTGGATGATATTACTACATCCTGTTATATATCTCAGCACTAGTATTTCGTGAGCAGGGCAGAGAGTTGAGGCCATGGTCAAAGTTTGGTTTAGAGGGATTGGACTCTGGAGGCAAGAAAGGGAACACTGGAAGTCTCATGGAAGTAATGTATCATCCCAGCCTGGAGTCTACTCTCAGACAAAGGCTATACAGACTGTATAGGAGTTTTCCAGCAACGGAGAAGAGTCCAAGTTCCCCTTTGCCTTGTCCCAGGATTATACACAGCCACCGAAAATGGTGCTATTTCCCCTTAGAAAGCATGAGTCTTTACTTCTAGGTTTTGTGGGTGAGGAGGAAAGAGGGAGCCAAGAAGGGGAAGAGGGGGGTGGGATGGAACATTTTGGCCCTTATGTCTTAGCCTGAAGGGAAAGGGTCCTTTTGAAAAGGCCTAAATTTTTTCTGATTTAGGGTAGGGTAAGTTTGCAGCTGAAGGGTAACATCCATTCCCTGTACTTTGAGCCACAGGAAGTCTCACACAGCAGCATCTGCTTGGGTCTATTTTCATCCCTTGCATCTTCCTCCACTGGACTGCAGTTTCCAGCAGGTCATATCACATGGTAAACACTTTTGCTCAAATAGAGGAAAAAAGCCCGTGAGAGCAGGGCCTTTGCAAAATTAATCTGGGACATGGATTTTGGTTAGTGTAGCAACACCCTCCCCCAATTTCTCATTTAATATGTGAGGTCTTTTAAAGAAGGCGACCTAGAGCCAGAGAAAGTTTTCCATATATTCTATTACTGACCCTATTTTGCCTGTGAGTGTTATGCATTACGAAAACATTTCCAAGCACTCACTAAGAATCATCATCAAAACGAAGGTGCCAAACAACAGCCATAGCAAACACAAGGTCCTAACAGATGTTGCCTGATAGATCGAGGAGGCCCGTTCTTTGTTCCATGGTGTCGTAGTTCCAGTAGCTTCATTTCCAGAACCTGTAGAATCCCAGTGCTATTGCCAGGCAAGCGAAAACAGAAGCTGCAAATAGAAACAGGAAATAATTAATGTGGCACAAAACATCATCCTGTGCTCGGTGCAGGGAATTCATTTTGCGACAGATGAAAGCTGACTGCAACTCCAAAGGATGCTAAATAATCTAAGACAGGTCATTTAATTTTAAAAACATTTCTCCAAGAGCTTAAACCTTTCCTCAGGACACTAGCTATACAGACATGATATCAGGAGTCAGACTATTAGAACAAGTTCTTGTTACACAAGTAAAATATCTAAGTGTCCCCCCACCCCCATCAGACGAGATGACTACCAAACTAATAAAAGGATTTCATAGGCATTAGGGCTGGAAGGGACCTCATGAAATCATCAGGTCTAGGCCTCTGCCTAAGGGGCAGGAAGTCAGCTAGGGTCAGATCACCCCAGCAAGATAAGCATCCCAGCGTTTCTTAAAGGGACCCAGGAGTAGGTGCTTGCACCACTTCTGGGTGGTGTTTATTCCAGACTCTGGAGACTCAGATAGTAAAGAAGTTTTTCCTTACATCCAGTCTAAAACAATCTTCCAGCAGTTTGTGACTGTTAGATCTTGTCTTCCCTTGGGGTGCCCTGGTGAACAGACGTTCTCCCAGTTCCTGATGCACACCCCTCATGTACTGATAGGCAGCCACCAAGTCACCCCTGAGCCTTCGCTTCTCCAGGCTGAAGAGTCCCATGGCTCTCAGTTTCTCCTCCTGTTCTCTTGACCTCTAATCATGCACGTGGCTCTCCTCTGGACTCTCTCAAGCTTCTCCACATCCTTTCTAAAGTGTGGAGCCCAGAATTGGATGCAGTACTCCAGCTGCAGCCTCACCAATATACATCAGGGGTGTCAAATATACTGTCCATGGGCCAAATCTGTGGAGTGCTGTAACCAAGCTCGTGGATGCTGGACCAACCCAAGGTGTCGGTCCAAGCCCTGGCTTCACGTGCTGCATACAGCAGGTAGGTTGGACACGGTGCTGCATGCCCTGTGTAGCAAGGTGTCCTTCTAGGGATGGCTGTGAAGCCCCGAGAAGCCCTCCTTCCCTTGACCACTCTGCTAACTTAGTGCAATCAAACCTTCAGTTTCCTGCCATGCCTTGATGTATCTGATTTAAATAAAGGAGGCTGCCCCAGTGCTTCCCAGTCTGCTCCCACTAATAATCACCAGGTGTCTGTGGTCACTGCCTTATGGGCTAATTATGTGGCTCCAATCAGTCCCTACACCATGCCCCATGTCTTGCAGGTGTTCTCTCTCTTTGATGTTTACCAGATCTTGCTCAGCCCCTCTCCGGGCCCTCAATACACTCAGCAACTCTCCCTGGGCTCCTGGACCCTCTCTGGTTCCACACACACAGCCCCTCTCTTTGGGTCTGGACCCCTAGGAACCTCCTCCTCCTCCCCTTAGTTCCTCTCCAAACCTCCAGACTGCTGGCTGGATTGTCCCTGCTGGCATTCAGGAGCTGCACCCATCCTGGCGAGCCCATGTTCCCTCAGCAGCCTCCAAGATCTAACTGCTTGTTTCACTCAGGACTTGGGCCTATATATCTCAAGCCCAGCTCTCTCTCAAGTCAGGTGAGGCTCCCCGCACCCCACCTGCTTCAAGGGCTGCTTCTCCTCTTAAAATGAGAGGCACCCTAAGCACCCTGCCACACCCTGAACTTAACATAGGGGGTCATGATGTCTGGGGCACATGCTGCATGTGGCTCTGCTAGGACAGCTCTGCATGCTGGCTCCAAGGCTGGTCTGGATTGGGCCATGCCACTGCAAAGTGCCGGTCCGGCAGGGTGCCACATACAGTATGCACCTTGTGCTGTTCTTTGCTGTGTGCAGTGCAATGGCCAATCCAGCTCCACATGCATGCAGCATATGCTGGCTCCAGCTCTCCCCAGCATGCGGTGTGCACTACCTGTAGTGGAAATGTTGGACCTGGGGCTGCACCTTAGACCAACCCCTTGTGCTAGCTGCAGTGCCAGGTCCAGCCTGCGCCGTGCTGACCCCATGCTGGCCTTGTACACCACATGCATAACAAGCTCCAGGGCTGGTGCCTGCTGTGTCTGGTGCATGGGCTGGACCTGGTGCTATGGGCACTACACAGGGGTTGGTCCTTGTTCAGCCTGCAGACCATCCCAGTGACCCTCATCCAGCCTGTGGGGCCAGATGAATTTGACACCCCTAATATACATAATGGGCACTATGTCAGGAATAAGCACAGACGACTGGAACAACTGTGTGAAACTTGAACAACTTACTTTCCAGATGGGCTGAACCAGCAGTTTAGCAAGCGTTAAAGCAGGTTTCTTCATGTTCTGCTCTTTTTGCTGGACTTGATCTCAAGCTGCACAACAACTAGGTTATTCTCCTTTCTACCTCAGTGTGCACTTCCTGGTCTCATTTCGAAGCTTAGTTTGGTTTCTTTAAACCTTACTGAAATCATCAAACTGAAAGTGAGAGTTTTTGAAAATGCAACTTGGAGGTTTACTCCTGTGTGTCATGAAGGTGCACGCTAAGGGAGTCAGAAACACAGGATGATCCTGACCTTCATCCAACAAAAGTCCTAAGCTTCAAAGCAGAGCAACTTAAACACTGCTGCATCAGACCATCTGGTTATGTAAATGAGCTGCCTCACTCCCTGCAGAGTAGCCTTCAACTCCAGCTCATTCCTGTGGGGGATAATATGACCCCAGGATAGTTTGGGCTAGGAGCCTCTGCAGCAGAAGCTGCTAACTTGTTAGAGTAAGAGAAGCAAGAATGGATGGAGGAAGCAGTGTTCATCTTGTCCACATGCTGCTCCTAGCCTGACTTTGGGCACAATCCTGTGCCAAAATTTCCGCTAGTTTTCTACCAATTTTTTTTCTCTATCACTTCTTTTAAATTATGAAAACAAAACAAGTGACTTTTGAACTTGTTTGCATTAACCTTTCCCATAATTTATTAGCTGTTGTCATGCCTAACCTGAGAAACATTGAAACCAACAACGTTGTATACATAATTATGAATTCACAGTCATTTTCTTTGTAGCTCATTTTTAATGTAGAGTCATCAGACAACACACCCAGGCTACCAAAGGGAATTTCAGAGAATTGGGAACTCTACACCCTAAATTTCCCTTTGAATCAAGTTTTATATTTTGGAAACACACGGATAATGCCCATTCCTTCGCGAGTAAGTTGCGTACCTGCCAAATAGCGTATCGTGCCCAACTTATTCGATTCCATCAGTGTTTTCAAGGAGGCTATTTCAGTATCAATTTTGTTGCTGATTTCTGCAATAACACTGTTGGTTCTTGAATCCTGAAATATTATAAAACACAGCATACATGTGACTCATCTCTGCCCCCCTTCCACTTTT